TATAGAAGAAGAGTCGGCGTGCATTATGCAAAAGGATGGGCGTTCTGAGGAGGTGAGTAGAGACATGCATTGCGCCAAAGTACCCCCAACCAGGGTGAATACCGGTCGAGGAAATCCTCGACAGGGGGTCGTACCTGTAGGGCTGGGTCATGGGGGGTCGTACTCTTGGGGGTCAGTAACATCAGTGGCATCGTGGTGCAGATAGGGGAGAGGGTGTAGCGCAGCAGAAAACGAAGATATGTGAGAAAACATGGTGTAATATTCTTTCAGGTTCAGTCGTGTGATACCACTACCACGAGAACGTATTCGATAGCAATGCAAAGTCAATGGAAGGTTTATTGTTTGTCTTCATCGGGATCATGGAGTATGCCCGAAGAAAAAATCATTGCTCTTGACATTTCTTGGTCTTTTTTTGACTGATGTTGCGCGTCGGCGGCTTCACTTTCACTTGATCCTTGTACCGACATTGAATGTGTGGCATAAAGATCCACGAGCTTGTGTTTATCATCTAAAATTACTAAGTTAGGCTAGATGGAAAAGCAGATAAATTGCAGAGCAGAGGTACCTCGCCATAAGGAGTCCTTTATTTCCTTCATGAGACTACCCTGCCTCTCAGTTGAGGAAGGCAAGTGAGGCTTCAGCTTCAAGCCGGGACGCGGCTTTGTCCACTGATGTACTAAAGGTGGAGGAATTTTCAACGCTTCACCGTTGTCAAGAAGTGTTTTGTAGAGTCGAATACTGTTTTTGTCACTGCGGAGATCGGTTGGCCATGTGTTCGATGTGCGCGCCGTTCTTGCAATTGAGTTGTAGAAGTCAAAGAATGGGCCACGGGCTTCAGGCAGGGAGCAGTTTTCCTGAATGTCGGTGATGGACATCAGAATGAGTCTATCACGCTTGCCTTTATCCACATTTCCCTCCTCGTCCACATATTCAGGGTAACCCCGGCTTGCTGCTGTAACACCTGGCAAATCGCAATTTTTGAATGCCTCGTAATCTCCGTTGCATTCGATGATGTCTAATATGATATGCCTGTCTAAAGCGTATGGAAAATATTTGTGTGCTTCCGTGGGATACTTGCTGGGAGTCATATGGTGGCGAAAGCTTGTCCGAAGATCGTTGTAGAACTGGTTGATTTGAGCTTCTGGTTTAGGTAAAACAGTGATGTCCAGGTAATAACGCCGCAGATCGGTAGAGCCTTGTTCACCCGGTGAGTAGCCTGTGTTGACATTTCTAAAAAACTGTATCCTTCTCAAGTGGGCTGTGTTCATTCGGTGGAGCTCTTCCAGTTTGTCCACTTCCTTCAAGCTGAAATCTGAGAACATGGAAGGATTGTAGGCGAGGAAGTTCTCTGAAGGTCCATCTACCGCAGTACTATGTGGTGTGGAATAAGGTGTATAATAATTCTTGAGGAAGTTGAGATCAGCGTCCACAAATTTGTGTCGTTCATGATCCCACATGTAGAGGAACCCACAATGGGCGAGGTAATCATAGACGTCGTCTTTCAATGCTTCATGTTCAAGAAGGGAATCCAGGTGTCGCCAGCGTGATAGGTAATCTACCATAAGAGCCTCTTCGTCCTGCAGAGCTTCGGACAGTCTAGCGAGATACGAAAGTGTCGCATTGACGTGATGTAGGGTAATGAATATTCGACCATCGTTCAAGATAAATTCTGCGTCTGTAGCTCGTTCTTTCGCAATTGGAGAAGCGGAGCTGTCCTTAGCTAATCTTTCTGAAGCTTGGATCAAAACTGGGTAAACGCGGAGCAGCTTCGAAATAGAGTTCTGCAGGCTAGCAGACCATCGTACGGCGTGCAAGGCGTCCATTTTCAGAAGGGGAAACCCCATATCCTTTGCCGCTGCAGAATAAGCGGCGCGGCCGCGTGCCGAGGTGAACAGAGAGTGCAATTCCGATACAAGGACCTGTGTGAATTTGAAAACGCTTCCTTTCTGCCCCTTCACCGCCAAATCTAGTTTGTGTGCTGCACATACGGAGAGGAGGAAGTTTACTCGACCGCTTCCGCTCCTCTGTGTCTCTTGAATGATAAGACCTTGCAGCTTTCTATGAACTCCACCGGAAGCTCCTGTCATTACAGAGGCGCCGTCAGAGGAAAGTGCTACCATTCGTTTCATGAAAAAAGCATAGGGAGTATCATTCAAGCCGGGACTGTTCTTCCATGATTCAAGATCCTCCAAATAGCTAGTAAGCGCGTCGACGATATCGTCCGCCCTCTCACTTTCTACTCGTACCAACCAACGCAAAATGGAATGTGATGGGTCGATTTTGCTGAGAGATTGTCTGAATGAGGATCTATTTGGTTCCTTCATTGGAAGTGCCATCAGCAAGTAAGGAGAATGGCATATTGTTGTCCATCAAGTACTTTAGCATCTCGTACTTCATGTGGCGTGCAAAGGTTTTCACCATACTCCGTGCTGACAAGGAATCAAAGTGTGCTGTGGCTGGTGCTGCTCCTGCGCGTAATCCTATAAGCATAAGGGAAAATTGCTTTTTGAAAGATAGCCCTTCTTTTGCAATAGTGTAGGCGGCAAGAGTAGATGAGACTACCTTCCACGACCTGCGGTACGCGAGTTTCTAGCGCTTTCGCCGTTGCGATGTATTCTTGGAAGTTTGCTTCGTGCTCCGACGTACTCTGATGAGCCCTTACTCTGTTCAGAATAACATTGATGCCCTTTCTCGATGAGGGATCCCGTCCCCCATACACCTGAACGCACATTACAGAGCCTCTTCCCAATGCATTCGTTCGAAGTTTACCGTCGTTCCTGCGTATAGATTGCTCACATTTAGCATGACCTGGGTCCGGGTCATATTCCTGTATAACAGTTTCCCTGTTGCAAAGGTTGCAGCGGAGGAAATCGGCGTAAGGCTTGGTGGAATTTCTATAGTACGACAACCACGGAAGTTTTGCCAACGTCGAGATCTGAGACCTAGACACACGACAGACGCTTAAGTAGTGGAGATTTTGCTTCAATTCTTCCAGATCCTCTTTGCTTCTAAACAGTCCATATCTCCTCCTCTCACTTTCTCCTGTTAGCTGAAACGCTTTTTTGAAAAAGTTGTTTTTCTCCTTCATTTCTTCAACTAGTCGCTGGAGCTCCTCCTTCATATCTTCAACTTTTTTATTCAAAGCTTTGATCGTGAGTTTTAGTTCTGTAACCTGAGAATGGCATTGGTCTCTCACTTCAGGGTGATCAACGTTTCCTCCTTCGACGCTTGCATCCAATGGCTCCGCATAACCTCCGGGTCGCTCTCTGAGCTCATCTTGCGAATCACTGTACGAACTTGCATCCATGGGGCTCACTTCGTCCACACTAGGCTGCTGCGTCGTGTGAGATACTTCTACTCGCGATAGGTGCAGCCTGACGTTTTCTTGAGTACAGTAGTTACGTTCTCCGGGAGAAGGAAGCGCCAGCACCCAAGTGGAGTCGCAATAGGACGCAGAAGTGCAGTCGTCGAGCGGAGTCGGGAGGAAGAACATAGAAATGAGTTTGACCAGGAAGTAGAGTAGCAAGCCTTCCCAGCGAGAGCATGCTGCGGGTGTCTTCAGTTGGAGCGAAAACAACGTGACTTTTGATCCTGCTTGAAAGCCATTCCTGATCCGAACGCGAGACTTGAATTTTGTCAGTAACATATGAAGGATTGCCAGCAGACGACGTTTTGACGAAGCTAAACTTGCTGACAAAATCTTGGTATTCCACAGTGGTGCTCAAATGGACTAGGAGAAAAATGATCTGGAACTCAAGCTCACGGCGACAAGGGTTTGAGGCTTTGGGGAAAAAAATAGTGCATATTTTATTTCCTTAACATGATGACTGTCCGGGTTTGTTGCAGTTGGGCGAGTTGACGAAGCGGGAACACCTTGCTGTTCTTTCATCAAAGTCGTAGAAACGGAAATCAGTAAGCACGTTCTCTCGTGAGCTGCCCACAGTGTAGAACCCTCTTCACAAAGTGTCCGTCTTCTTGTGGCCATTTATGATTATTGAAGTCCACAAATGATCATCAGAGAGAAGGTATCCGGCTCTAAGGTGTAGGTTCTGGAAAAGACTCAAAATCACTGCATGCTTTGAGAAGGCGTACCATTCTTCTTGAACTCACCAATAGCGGTCTGGTCTCAAGGACCAATAGCCCATATTTGTTGAGGGTGAAACTTTTACGGCTGCTGCTGTCCTTGCAACCTTCGCTGAGAGAAAGCTCGATGAATTGGGTTACGTAAGAAGATTTGAACCCAAGCGTAGATATTTCGTTGAACACTGGATGGCAGGATCGATCGTAACCGAGACAGAAGCGAGGGATGATTCCAAAAAGCAGTACCATTGCACGAACCTTCATGATAAAGGCGAGGTTCACGCACAATTTCGTGTTTCGTGAGGTGCTCCGAAATTGCACAATGCAGGAAATAGATCACTCAATCAGATCACAATTCAGATCTAGAAGAGAAGAAGCAGAAGTAAATGCGGTTTTTAAACCCAAAAGACAAGGAGACCACTGCTAGGCAGGCAGAACAGAAGGACGTGATTCGATTCGCTGGAGCGCCTCCTCGCACTGCTGAAAACATTGGCCCAGTGCACTTATGCAAAAAGTGCGCCGCATCATACGCACTGCAAATGCACATCCCCTATCGATTTCTCGTTTGCTCGCTCTCAATACCTCGCTGAGAATACCACAGTTCTTAGAGACGCTTGCGCAAATAACGACAACCGTGAAGGAAAGCGCTGGGCAAATTTTTTTTTTAGGTTACAGGAATAGCACAACACACTATGTCTACTACAATACAGTTTCGTTCGAAGGTCCCCATCATATAACACCTTTCAATCGATTCTGCAACTGTGAGTGGAGGAGGGATGCATGGCTTATACCAATACCAAATCGGATGATGACGATTGCTCCTATTCTTATTGTTTGCGTTCAAAGATATTGTTCTAGACACATTCCGAGTGTTGCCAACGAGTCACACTTGCAATGGTGAATGAGGGAGCGGATTTCCAGGTGGCCGGATCCGACCTCGATAGATCCTCGACGCAATTATCTCTTCAACCAAAAAGCTGTAGAAGAAAACTAAACAGACCATCAGGAAGCGCAAACCTTCCGCTTTCCAAAACTATCTTCCCTTTTTCAGGATCTTACAATATAAGAGATATATTGCTCTTGAAGTGGCAAAAACTCGCGTGAAAATTTCGGGCCTCCTCGACATTTACTCGACGAAATTTGACAGACCCTATCTTTCTGCAAGGAAGGCTTCCAGAGCAATTTCGATGCTTGTTGGAAACGCGAAATCCAGCTCTATCTAACTCTACCTCAAGCTGCTTCAAAGGTTGTGAAATGGAGGAATGCAACCTTTTCATCGAGGGTGTAGATTCGGACGTTTTTTTTTTGAAATTTCGGCAAATCTGACCCAGTGACAATCGCGCCGCAACTGCCGTTAAATCGGCCGCCAATCTGTTTTGCGTCTGGTGATGCGATTTTGCGAGCGCCTCGGCATTCTGCCTTCATATTCTGCTCGTGGTTTTTCTAAATTCTCTTGATTCCTTTTTCCTTCGCTGTCTCACTGATTATACTTCGAATGTGAGTTCCGATTCTTATTGCTTCTATTCCATGTTCGATGTTTCAGGGGGTGGGGGGGGAGGGGGGGGGGGGAGGGTGATGTGAGTCTCCGTTCGTGGCGCGGCGACCCTTTCGAGTAATGGCAGAGAAACTGAAGATTACTGTAACCAGTTAAAAGTAAGCTTAATTCATTGTGGCGACTTTCTCGTGAGAGTTTATATAGGGGCCAAACTTTGAATTTCTTCCATAATGTTCTATGTTTTTTGAATTGTGTCTGAAATATATATTGGTCCTCTCGATCTCGAATGTTTTCTGAAGAAGTTTTTCTGGCCGACAACAACCTGGCTTTTAGGAAAGAAAACCCTAACGGAAAAGGAGGACAGTGTGCAGAATCTATAGAAACGCGAACTAGAACAGGAGGCGATAATGGGCAAGTTATGCATATTTTTAACCTGTGGTAGTATGTAAATGCTTGCGTAAAGAGTTTTCATGACTGTGGTGTGCTTTTTAAGCAAAGGGAGTTCTGTAATGAAGCCGGTAATAATTCATTGCGGTCCGGAAGCTCCTCCACTACATGATGAAGATTACGACTTTGATCCTGCCGAATTCGAACGAGGTCTTGCTTTTTTCATTGTTGTGAATTGTCATTTGTTGATTACTCAATCGATATTCAATTGGTACGCTATTCTATGATCATATCTTAGTTGCAGAAGAGGGACCCTATGCTGTTGAAGACGTTGATGTGCAAGTCATCAATCAGATGACCAGATTGTTCCTGACAGTCCTTTGCCCGTGGACACGAGAGACAGTTGTAGGTGAGAATTCATTTCTTTTTAAATTTGTTATTAGATCGTCAGCTGAAACCGAAACTGTTCCATAGAGAACATTCACTTTATCATCCTGTCTACCAAGGGGAAACAACGGGTCGCCCCGGCTATATGAAAGAAGGTGTCCACCATTGCATTTCTCTAGACACGCTGAGCTCGGAACTGCTTTTCATACCAGTTGAATAATTTTCTGAAAGGAGCTACGAAGCGAAAACGCGCCGTGTGAGTTGTCCGAGATAATGGACAGGGAGTCGTGAGATCGATCCGTTGTGAAGTCTGCTATATCGCTTTTTCGACGACATAGCCAGAAAGATTTTGGATATCAATACTGCACCATGTTTCCTTGAAAATAAGTAATTGCTTGAAAATGCTGGTGTGAAGAGTTTGCGTGGCAGTTAAGGACACTTCTTGTAGGATACTATGTCAAATAATGCAGGGAAAGTCACTTGACTTGACTCTTACAGAAGGCGGCGCGGAGTTCACTGTTTATAAAACTGCCGGGCTCATCTGTTGAGCTTCTTGGCATAGTGCATGTCCAATAAATTAGCTGCGATTGAGCCACATAAGTGCAGATCGCTTTCAGGTTCCCCCTCTATACCCGGGTCCTATATCCTCTGCCGCTCCCAATCAGCTCCCTTTCTCAAGGACTGTGGCACAGGTTTGTTCATCGAAAACCGCTTTTTATGTTGTAATTGCATGAAAATTCCTATAGGTATCCCCATTGAAATGTTCCAAGAGCAACTCGAAGGTCAGGTCAAGAAGTCCTCCATGTAACGTGGAGCTCGGTGAAACCCCTCCGGATTTCGACGCTGATTTGGCGAATATGTCTTCAACAAAATCGTGAGGTTTTCGACGACTCGTGGCACTTTGTAAACTGCTTTTTGCCTCAGCGTGTTTCCTTGCTTCTCTTCAGATCTCGCTTGTATTCAACATCATCTTATGAACAAGCAACCAAGAATACCAGGGTATCTGAGTATCTGCTGGTTACCCTTTCTGTCGTTGTAATTATATGTAGTCTTCGTTCCTTTTTGTATGTGTACACCTTGTTTAGGTGCGCAAATATCGCGCAGTTGTTAATCTATCGCGTAACATATCTGAAGATCTCAATAATAAATACTTGGAAGCGCCCGTCAACAACTAGAGTACAACGTAAGTAACTCTTTGTATTAGAGTAGTCCATTGTTACATTATTGTCATTTGTTTCTATTTATCATCCGAGGTCCAGTGAAAGTTCTTCTTTTCAGCTTCACTAATTTCTCTTGGTGATTCACAAGCCGAGACGTCGGGACCGAAGCGCATTCCATGCGCTTCTTTTGATGCAAGTCGACGTTCTGATAGATTGGGTTGGTTTATATATTTTTGAGTGGTTTCTATATTATCTCGGTCTGCTTGTAGATGGGGAGGTGGAGCTCACTTGCTGACGCAATTGCTACTAACAAAGGAGCGCGTGCTAGAGCCTGTCGTAAAGTGAAGCTCTCCAATCAACAATGTAAGACACGTCAAGGACTGTGATGTATCCTGACAGGATCTAACCTACTTACTGCACGTACATTCGTTTTTTTTCTTTTTTCACATATTGGTTTAATTGCTCATCACTATCTCCGCCTGAAAACCTTTGTCTTCCCTACCAAATCGCTTTGATGATCCTGGATGCTATTCAATCATGAACTTTCGGTGACTGCTTGTTATGCCCCCTCTATAATGTGGACAACCTTTGCTGGCGTATAGCGTAGGGAGTGTTGTTCACCAGGACAGAAAGCGACTTTTTCGATCATATGTGTACCTGAGGTTCCCACAGCGAAAAATGTTCCGCGCTGCGAAGGGTGAAAAATTCGCTCTTTATCCAGGTGAAGCACACCCCGACTCATCCCCTGACTGAAACTACATCGTTGAAAACACATAAATTCAAAGGGATTTCCGTCCTACGATCCCTGAGGGAGGGATTGAATACCGCCCTGGGTCCTGCGACGAACCACTCGAACATTTCCTTACCATCTCCTCCCCAACATTCAGCACACGGTCCTTGTTCATAGTGTTTAGCATGGTTGTTGAAATGTGTGTGTTGTGCATGTTCTTGAACAACATGTAATGAATGTTCAAGAACATGCACAACACACACAGAAGTGTATGTGTTGTGCGTGTTGTTGAACATTCATTACATGTTGTTCAACAACATGCACAACACATACACTTTGTGTGTAGTAGTAGTACATAGTACATAGTATGTTGTTGAACAACAAGTAATATATGTTCAACAACATGTACAACACATCCACTTCATTTTAGCAGTAAGAAGTATGCACAATGAAGTAGATGTGTTGTGGATGTGCTCTATGTGTTGCCTACCATTCAACGTTTTAGAACTTAATTTCGCATCACTCATGTTAAGCAACATATATGTATAACGCATCCACAACACATCCGCTTCATTGTGCATACTTTTTAGTGTGTAAATGAAGTGGATGTTTGTATGAAATCATGCATTTCAGGAGAACGTTGTAGCAACGAAATGTTTGCGCTGTTCCGTACATGTGTCGGTGTCCTCGTCCTGTCGAAGTCGCTGCAACCAACCACATCGACGACGGTTTCTATAAAAATTTTT